ACCTTAGAAAACGAGATGATGATAGGGATGGGACTTCTCCCTTGTTTTTGAGGGCACAGCAACCTTGATCTGGCATCCGTGATGAGAAACAGGAAAGGGGTAAAGGAGGCCCACAAGGCTCTGGGTTGGAGTGGGTGCTTTCTTTTTGCCTTCCATGAATCTTCAATAACAGTGGGGTTCTAAAGAGCTCCATCCAGCCTAGGAGCAACACAATAGGGGAACTAAACAACAGCCCAGAGAAAGTGATAGATTCCCAGCTAATGACTCCCTTCTCCTCCCTTTTCAATAAGAGGGTGAGTGGACAGATGTTTGTGGTTTACTGCAGCAGTTGGTTCCAGCTGTGTGCATGGCACAGGCAGTAGTGAGAACATCGTGTTCCACTCCTGCTCGTCATGTTCCCCTGGGTGAGAATGGGTTTGAATGTGGTGTGTGTGTGTGTGGCTTGTTTGCATGCATGTCTGGCAGATTTCTATTTGTGAGGGTGTCCAGATTAATGGGGCATGTAGTTTTTTTCTTTGACAATCAAGTCTTAAAAAAAAATGTAAACAATTCATCTTCCCTCCCATTCAGTTAGATGAGGTCACCATCAGAGTAAGGCAGAGAAGTCAAAGCACATTTAGGTGTTGCCTGACACTTTAATTTCTGGTATAATTCCAGGACAAATAGATTATTTAAACTTAAGAAGCTCCTGGAAAATTGCCTAGCTGATAATTATAATTAGAACATCTCTCTCTACTTACATGTTCCTTTTAGGGAAAAAAAAAAGATTGAGAAGATTCTATACCAACATCCCCAAATTGGTTAAGATACCTAAATGAAATACTGATTTGGAAATGAAGTACTAGCCATGTAAGCAATCTACTTCTGGGCCTGCTACATCTTGGGTAGCTCTGTCACAAGTAGAATTCATTCATTCACTCATTCATTTATCATACAAACATTTACCAAGTACCTATGCTAGTGTGACTTACATTTTGGTACTTATTGAATTACTCAGTTATTTGTGTAAAATGCAAGTACCCAGAACCCACCCTAGTCCTGCTGAATCAGAATCTTCAAGGGGTATGTTCCAGAAATACACATTTTAAACACCCTATTTTAGGTGTGGAATAAAAAAGAAATGAGTAGAATGGCGCTTCTCTTTGCTAGCTGTTATACATCTGGATAGATAAGCCCTGCAAAGTTTCACCTGAGCTGTGGTTAGATATGTATGAATGCCCAGGAGAGGAAGAGAGGGCTTTGTGATTCAGGTATGCCTGAGCCGATGGCTCCGTGTTCACCCTGCATCAGATTAGTGTTGGGAAGTGTTGGGTCTCCTATAAGTGTGCCTGACACCACCTCCTGGATGGTGGGCATCAGATGTGGAATGAAGGACTATGTCTTGCCTACAGTGTCCTGTTCTAATAGCTATGAATGGACAAGAATAGGGAGGGGATTGCCCAACTTGTCAACACTCTCATTTCTGAGGAAACTCTTACAGGTTTCCCTTTGGCAGTGGGTATAGAGCAGAGAGTCACAGGAGAGAGCTTAAAAAGCTTGTTAAGAGGGCTGGGGATATAGCTCAGTTGGCAGAGTGCTTGCCTCCCATGCAGTATCACAAAAACAAACAACAAAACAAACAAACAAACACTTGTTAGAGCTGGGCACAGTGTCACATGTGATTGGGGAGCCTGAGGCAGGAGGATCCAGTGTTCAAATCTAGCCTTGGCAACTTATTGAGGCCCTGAGCAACTTTGCTAGAGTCTGTTTCAAAGTAAAAAAAATAAAAAAGGGCTGGGGACATGGCTCAGTGGTTAAATGCTCCTGTGTTCAATCCTTAGTCCCCCCATCCACCAAAATAAACAAACAAACAAACAAACAAACAAACAAACAAACAAACCTCATTGGGTTTGCAATCATGAAATCAAGGGTCCAGGTCTGACCCTGCTACTTATTAGCTGGGCAATTTACTTAGCTTCCCTGAGCCTTGTTTCCTTATTTATATAGGCAAATAATCCCTACATTGTAGGGTTGTTCTGGGGATTACATAATGTATAGCACATGAACTCTTCAGCATTGTGCTAATGAACAGTATTTGTTTTTATTAATAACAGAAATAACAATGGACCCCACTTGTGTGCCTAGAGGTTTCTCCTCCTCAGGCCATCAAAGTCAGCCTCTATAGTTACAGTGGCTCCCAACTGTTTGTTGTGCTTTGGCTCCCTGAAGGTCTATACCACCAGCCTAGCAGTCCTGCTAGCCTGAGGCTCAGGGAAGTGATTCTCA